TGTGCACGTGCGGGCGGCGCCGGCGCGCGGGCATCTGCTTCGTACGTGCCGCCCCGCGCCCCGCTCCTGGCGGGGCCCCCAGCGGGCGGCGCGGGGCGGGAGGCTCGAGGGCCGCCTGACCTGTGTGCCTCCGCAGGGCGACTCCGGGGGCCCCCTGGTCTGCAACGGGCTGGTCCAGGGGTTCGACTCCTTCATCCGGGGAAGCTGCGGCTCCGGGGTCTACCCAGACGCTTTTGCGCCGGTGGCGCAGTTCGCGAACTGGATCGAATCCATCATCCGCCGCACCCCAGGGACCCGGCTGGCAGGGCCCGCTAGGAGGGGCCGCCCTGTCCAGTAACTCCGGCTTTGCAGAGCCTCCCCTGGGGAAGGCTCCCACCGGCGGAGTGTGGCGGCGTGCCCAGCCCGCGGGCCTGCTGGGACGCCTCTCATACGGTGGAAGATGAATAAACTCTTTTTTTTAAAAAAAAAAAGAATTACTTATTTTATCCCATTGTTGTTATTCTTTCTCGTTTTAAATTTGACCAGAGAGAGAGGGAAAGCAAGCTGGTTAGGTCCAGGGTTTGCGCTGTGCCGGCTTGCAGGAATCCAGTGCCCTGACCACCAGCCGGCGGGTGCCAGGGCGTCACCCAAGAACATGCTGCGCATCTGGGGAGTTCTTTGAAGTCAGCCCTTAGGTGGGCTCTAGGGACGGAGACCGGTCCAGGGACAGCAGTTGGCATGGGCTCAGGGCACTGGGCTCCCACACGGATGGCCACAGTTCAAGTCCTGGACCTGACAACTGGGGAAACACACAGGATGTGAGTGCCCCAGATCGCAGGGGAATGGGGGGGGCCGTGGTGTGGCCAGCCCCCAGGCTTGTGTTCTCACTTTCCACCTCTCTATCTCTGTCTCTCTCTCTCTCTCTCGAGTACCCTCGCCCTATGGCAAAAACCCAAAGAGAGAAAAAAAAAAAAAAAAAAAAAACGAGTCAAACTGACTCGCCTGCTTTAAAACCCACTTTGGGGGACCAGCACTTAGCGTAATGGCTATGTCACTGGACTCCCACGTAGTCAACTGCAGTTCATGTCCCGGACCCGGTGGCTTAAACTCACACTGGGCGCGTGTGCGTGCGTGCCCAAGATCCTGAGAGGAGAATGGAGGAGAAGGGATTGCGGCATGACCATCCCCCCTAGGGGTGATTTCTCGCTTTCTGTCTCTCTGTCTCTCTCTGTCTGTCTGGCGAGCGCACGTGCCCTACAGCGAAAACCTCTCCAAAAAAAAAAAAGGAGAGAGAGGCAGAGAGGCATGTAGCCCTGGCAGGAGCCTGGGTGTGGGGTGCCCCCACCTGGGTTCAAGCCCGAGCTCGGGCTTTGGTGCCTCAGCGTCCCATGAGGGCCGATCGGGGCCGGGTACCAGGACTCACTGTGGTCCCTGTCCCACAGCGTGGGGTCGGGGGTCAGATGGGGGTCCGGCCAAGTGAGGCAGCCCCATCACCGCCGCAGGCTCGGGGGACACGTCTCCGACACTTTGCTGCTTGCCCCAGAGCCTGCCCTGGACTCGCCGTTACGGTGGGGCCCTGCCGGACCACCCCTTCCTGCCCCAGACTGTGCTCCCCAAAGGCCAGCTCCTGAGAGAGGTGACCCGGCCCTGACACTGCCACTCCAGGTCCCCCCACACCTGTGCATGTCTCCACAGCATCTGGGGGAGTCCAGGGCTGTGTATTCAACTGCCTCTTCCTGCTAGCCCTGGGCTCCTTCCAGAATGTGCTGCAATTCTGAGCCATCTTACACAATCCGGGTAACCTAACAGCCTTTGGCTCCGTCTCTAACGTTAATAAGGACCCGGGCTCGGTTTCCTCTTCTCTAAGGTTACTAAAGGCCGGGGTCAGTTCCTTCTTAGCAAAGGTTAATAGGGCCCAGGCTCTGTTCCCTGTCTCTAAGGTTACTAAAGGCCGGGGTCAGTCCCCTCGTCTCTAAGGTTAACAAGGACTCAGGCTCTGTCCCCTCCTCTCTAAGGTTAATAAGGAACCCCAGGCTCTGTCTCCTCGTCTCTAAGGTTAATAAGGACCCCCAGGCTGTGTCCCCTCATCTCTAAGGTTAATAAGGACCCCCGGGCTGGGCTGTGTCCCCTCGTCTCTAAGGTTAACAAGGACTCAGGCTCTGTCCCCTCATCTCTAAGGTTAATCAAGACCCCCGGGGTTTTTTCCCCTCGTCTCTGAGGTTAATAAAGACCCCCAGGCTCTGTCCCCTCATCTCTGAGGTTAATAAGGACCCAGGCTGTGTCCCCTCATCTCTAAGGTTAATAAGGACCCCCCGGGCTGTGTCTCCTAGTCTCTAAGGTTAGTAAGGACCCCCGGGCTCTGTCCCCTCGTCTCTAAGGTTAATAAGGACCCCCCCCCCGGCTCCGTCCCCTCATCTCTAGGGTTAAAAAGGAC